TTCACTGAGTTACGCAAGCCCCTTCGCCACGACAAGGCAGTGATCCATGAAGGGGGTAATGAATTTAGCATAAGCCATAAAACAGGTTGAACACAGGATTAAAAAAGAAGAGCTTCCCCCTCCCCAAAATCTTTGGGTCACTGTGGGACTCTGGGATCTGTTCACATCAAGGACCTCTCATCCTTCTTGACAAGTGAATTTGATGTACCGATTCGTGTAATAGCAGGGAAGGTGCTGAATTAGGAGTAGGGACTCTGGGCCAGCCCCTCCCTCTCAGCGCCAGAGCTAGGGTGGGGTCTAGGGTGGGGTCGTGGGGAAGGGCTGACTGGGAGTGGGGAGACCCAGGCTCTGGCACCCCTCTGGGCTCCCTGGAAGGGGCGGTGGAAGGAACATGGTTCCTTTAAAGAGCTCGGGAGCTTTAGCATCATGGCCATGCAGTACTGAAAACGATGGCTCATCATCATATCATCCATCATCATCATCATCATCATTTTCATGATGCAGTGGGGTGGCCGGCAGCCTCTGTCTTTTTCGGCGTAACTTCGAGCCCTCTCCTGGGTCGATAAGCGGCTCCCACTTCCTTCTGCAGGCATGACGCGCCCCAGGGATTCCCTCGCGCCGTCCTCTCCAGGCGCCCCGGCAGGACTCCCGGCAGACGCTCGCCAGCGCGCGGGGGGTGGGAACGCCAGGAGGAGCAGCGCGCAGCATTCTGTCGAGAGTCTCCCACCCGCCGGCACAAGGCGAGGCTGCGGGGCTGTTGCACACTGGAAAGGGTTAAAAGCACGGAAAGGAACTCCTAGAGCGGAAGGAAAGAAGGTCCTCTGGAGTCAGGGCCTCTTCTTGGTCGGGACGTCCGCTCTTGCTCCTGTCGCCGCTTTGGTGCCTCCGCGGGGACCCGGTGAGCGCCCTCCTGGCGGCGGGTCTGGGCAGAGGGCGGCGCGGGGAGCCCCGGAAGGCGGAGGAGAGGCCGGGAGAGGATCCCTGGGATAACCCCCGTCTCCGGACCTTCCTCAGCCGCCACCCGGGGACTCTCAGGGTTCCCCCGCCTTTCCTCCCGAGCGCTTCTTCAGCGCTGATGGAGCCCTGCAGGGCAGGAGTCTTCTGGCTCTCTGGGGCACACGCGTGTTAGGCCTTTGCACGTGGAAAGGGCCCTGGATACACGCATGCAAGTCCTTCTCCACACGAACATGGATGCACCCCCTGCAACCACGGTTTGAGTCCGTTATTTATATGCCCTTCAAGCAGCAAAGCGGGCCAAAGCGGGCCAAAGCGGTGGGGCGGTTGGAGCCCTTCCTTTGCCTCCTGAGAGGCAGCAAAACTGATGAGCCTGGTATGGCCCTCTCTTCGGACAATCCGTACCCTTAATAGGAAAATGCCTTAGTTGCGTAGGACGTGGGAAGAACTCCAGGCAGAAAAACCTGTCCCATGGTAGTTTGCTGAAAGAGGGAGAATCATCCCCGACATCTTTCTCAGAAGCTTCCTCGGAGAAACATCAGTCATGGACCAACAAAACTTAGCAGGCTGTCAAGTAGGACAACATCTTGACACCATTCAGGCTGGAAGCAGCAGGGAATTCTCAGAAAGTGGAGTTCAGAAGTGCACAGGCAGGACGAGCACGGATGTACAGCCGCACTTCCAAGACTGCTTCCTTCAAAGTTCCTGCAACCAAATCTGCGCTCTGGATCATCCGGAACAGAAGCCAGAGCAACACACAAAGAAACCAGTCCAGGACATGGAGATCCTGCAGCCGTTCCTGACTGGCTTTCCACCACAGATGCAGGGCTGGGTGAGTGAATGTGGCCGAGTGACCAATCCCTGGCAGGAGGTGTCCATAATGGGAGGTTCCCTGAAATGTCACGGTAGAATATTTCCTTCTAGGCATGCAGTATTCGCCTCGCATGCACACAAACCTTGTCGTTCTGATTGGTTGTCTTGGTCATTTCAACACATGACGAGGAAACTGAATGTCCTTTCTCAGATTAGGCTTCCCTTTTCTTGTTGACACCTGTCACCCCTCATAAGGACGAGGCCTTCCTTAGGAGTTTTCAAACAGTTCCTATTTCTATCCTCATAGCAATACTGATAGTTCCTCTTTCTTAGTTTCATGTCTTTCCTTATTTAAAAAATATTATTCACACTCATTTGTCCTAACCCTAACAGCAAAAAGACAATTGTTAAGCTATCGCACTTGGCATCTTTGATGTTTTATTGGTTTTATTGTAATTGTAACATTCTACAAGTCCCTCAAGACCTGGCTATGTGACCAAGCCTGGGGGTCCCAGAGGACTGGGAGATTTTGTGATGGCTCCCTTACTACAGTAAATATCATCCTCTCCTGTTCTGTCTGGTTTTTATAGTTTTTATAGTTTTAATTATTGTTTTTATATGTATTTATGGGTTTTTAACTGAGTGTTGTACACTGCCCAGAGTCGCTCTTTTGTGAGATGGGCGGCTATATAAATATGATCAATAAATAATAAAATACATTTCTTTGATTGTTGAGAGCTGCCCAGAGTCTTTGGGAATCAGGTGGCATACAAGTTTGATGATGGTGGTGGTGGTGGTGGTGGTGGTGGTCAGTATCAGATATCCAGCCCAGACCTCCTGAGTTTTAAATTACCAAGTGAATTGATTCTTGTAATAAGAACGCTATGTAATTTTTACTGCCTGCCTTGTTTTTTTAGGAAAAGGAAGGAGTTACAGAAGCAGGCCCTGAGTTTTCTGAAGTGCAGGAAGATTCAACTGATGACAGGTTGAGGTTCTTGCACGAGGAAGAAGGAGCCACTGTTTCACTAGGTAAGGAAGTATGGGGCATATTTAGGTAGAGAAGGTTTTAATGAAGGGGGAAAGACCCTGGTCTCCAAGCTGGATTATTATTAACATAAACATGTCTATTTAACATCCCTAACATTTTATACCTGAGAATCAGCCCTTTTGTTCATGGCTCAGTGGGGAGAGAGGTGCCTAGGATTGTTGGGAGTCAGTTTTTTTAAAAAAAATGTGTAAACGAATAAATAAATGTGCTTTTGCCCAAGTGAGCTATGAAACAAACGTTCTCTGAAGCAAATGTTAAGTATCTTGATGCACTCTTTCTGTCACAGGAGATGGAGTGATTTTGGAAAGACAGCTTCAGCCTCCTGATCTTTTTGATGGAGGGAAAATTGCTGCTGTGCAGTGGGATCAGGTAGGGGAAAGAAAAGACAAGGGATCCCTGTGTCTGAATGAGTCTCTCTCTCGTTTCTCTTTGGTTTTGCCAAAGCTCCCTGCTACCAAAGCTCTGATGGTCGCTCAGGGTAAGACCCACCTTGCTTTGTAAGCAGAGAGAAGAAACCTCTAAGTGATCTGTGAGCAAGAAAAATGTTTCTTCTTCTTTCAGAGGCTCTTCACCTTGGAGGAGGTGGCTGTGCATTTCTCTGAGGAGGAGTGGGCGCTGCTGGATCCTGACCAAAAAGCTCTGCACAGAGAAGTCATGGAGGAGATCAGTGGCATTTTGGCCTCTCTTGGTAAGACATCTTCTTTCCTAGAAACGAATACCCATAAGCTTTTGTAGGTTTTTAAAATACATTGGCAGAATTTCAGCTCGTGTCCTTTTCATTGCATCTGTTGAGCCTTTTCAGTGTTTCTGAGGCAGAAACAGTAGCTGAGAAATTTGTTTTTTCCTACTCCAAGCTTCCATATGGTGGAAGCATGAAAACATCTTCTCCAATTTCATCCTCAGGCAGCCTTCCACTGTTTCTACCCCTGCCTTTTCATACAGTATAACAAAATATTTTTAGAAACAGTATCATCCACCCAGGCCAGTTTGGAAAAAGTGATAGCTCAAGGATGTCCTTTGCTGACCAAGGGGTTGGAGTAAATGACCTCTGATGTCACTTCCAACCCTCTCATTCTGTCTGCACTTCTAAGCCACTTGTAGACCCAAGTGACTGTTTTTGCCCTCAGAGCCATCTCTGAACATGGCTGTCAAAACTGACAGCATTTTCCTTCTTGTTAAGGTGGAAAGCAAATGAGAGTTGGAACATAAGCCCTAGAATAGGCATCTTATTAATAACAAGCAAAGGAGCTTGTCCAAACCACTTAAAAACTCCGTTCTGTTTATGTGTCCTCCAAAACTCTTCCCAATATTAAGTAAGTCTTGCCTTTCACTGTCCAAGGATTGCCCACCCCAGGTATAGAGCACACACCTTGCCTGAAGATAAACCCAGATTCTGTCTGTGGGATCCTGACAGAGTGAGAAGGTAGCAGACAAACTACCCGTTGGTGCACTGCACTGCCTGTTATACAAAAAAGAAGAAGTTAAGTCGGGGGAGAGGTTTGCAAAGTATGGGACCCACTCCTGAAGAGGCCTGCTGCTTGTTCTGCATTCTTCAGCCACTGCGTCGGGGTAGCTGAACGTAGAAGGAAACAATATGCCCTCCAGACTTTAATATGAGCATTTCCTTTTGTTCCAGTTTAGGTGTTAGATATCCAGGTGTCCCATCTTCCTCTGGCCAATAACAGTTGGGGAAGGATGAATTTTATAGAAGCTGCTTATACTCAACATTACCTTGTAGTTAAAACAGAGCAATTTTGTCCATACATGCAGAAGTGTTTTTAGTTCCTCCCATTACCACAGCTTCTTATGTAAAATAGTGATTTGGGGGCAGTTTTCAAATTGAGACCCTTACCAATTTTTGGTCTTCATCTCTTAAGGTGATGAGTGGAAAATCATGGATAAAAGAAAACCGAGTACAAACCAAAGATTTCACATAGAAGGGAAGCCACATAAATGCTTGGAGTGCGGAAAGGGCTTCATGACGAAGACAAATCTTAGCACACATAAAACAACTCACACAGCTGACAACCTGTATAAATGTTTGGAGTGTGGAAAGTGTTTCACCCAAAGCGCACAGCTAAGTAGGCATCAAAATACTCACACAGGGGAAAAACCATACAAATGCCTGGAATGTGGAAAAAGCTTCATTTGGAAGACAAACTTAGAGAGACACCAGAGGACTCACACGGGGGAGAAGCCCTTTAAATGCTTGGAATGCGGGAAAAGGTTCATTGAGAGTTCAGCCCTGATTACACACCAAATCATTCACATGGAGGAGAAACCGTACAAATGCTTGGAATGTGGAAAGTGCTTCACTTCAAATACACACCTCAGTGTGCATCAGAGAACTCATACAGGGGAGAAACCATATACATGTTTGGAGTGTGGAAAGAGCTTCAGTGAGAGCAGTAATCTTGCTTCCCATCGCAGAACACATACTGGGGAGAAACCCTCCAAATGCTTGGAATGTGGAAAGTGCTTCAGTTCAAAGAGACATCTGAGTGTCCATCAAAGAACTCATACAGGCGAGAAACCCTATAAATGTTTGAAATGTGGAAAGAGTTTCAGCGTGAGCAGTAATCTCGCTTCCCATCACAGAATTCATACCGGAGAGAAACCCTATAAATGTGCTGAATGCGGAAAATGCTTTACTCGCAGTTCTGATCTTATTAAACATAAAAAAATTCACACAGGGGAGAAGCCACATAAATGCTCTGAGTGTGAAAAATGTTTCACTTGCAGTTCTGACCTCATGAAGCACAAAAAAGTTCACACCGGGGAGAAGCCACATAAATGCTCTGTGTGCGGAATAGCCTTTGCGCGTAGTTCTGACCTGATAAAGCATAAAAAAATTCACACAGGAGAGAAGCCGCATAAATGTTTGGAATGTGGAAAGGGCTTCATCACAAGGACCAAACTGAGTCTGCACAAAAGAAACCACACGGGAGAGAGACCATTTCCATGCCTGGAGTGTGGAAAGTGCTTTATTCAGGTAGCCCAACTAAACAGGCACCAAAGAACTCACACAGGGGAGAGACCGTATAAATGTTTAGAATGTGGGCAAAGTTTCACACAGAGTTCTTCTCTTACTACGCATCAGATAACTCACACAGGGGAGAAGCCCTATAAATGCTTGGAATGTGAAAAGTGCTTCAGTTCGAGCACCCACTTACGTAGGCATGAAAGAACGCACACAGGGGAAAGGCCCCATCAGTGCTTGGAATGTGGAAAGTGCTACAGCGAACGTGCGGAATTAAGTCGACATCAGAGAACTCACACCGGGAAGAAGCCGTATAAATGTTTGGAATGTGGGAAAAGCTTCACACAGAGTTCTTCTCTTATTACCCATCAAATCACTCACACAGGAGAGAAACCCTATAAGTGTTTGGAATGTGGAAAGTCCTTCAGTTCAAACACACACTTGCGTAGGCATCAACGAACACATACAGGGGAGAGGCCCTACAAGTGCGCAGAATGTGGAAAGTGCTTCACTTCCAATGCACACCTCTGCCGCCATGAGAGAACTCACACAAGGGAGAGGCCATATAAATGCTTGAAGTGCGGGAAGAGTTTCAATGTGAGCAGCAACCTCACTTCTCATCAGAGGATTCATACAGGGGAGAGGCGCTACAAATGTTCTGAGTGTGGGAAGTGCTTCCTTCGCAGCTCTCACCTTATTATACATGAAAGAATTCACCGGGGAGAGAAGCCGTATAAATGCTCGGAGTGTGGAAAGTGCTTCATCACGAAGATAAACCTTAGCACCCATGAAAAAAATCACACAGGGGAGAAATCTTACAAATGCCTCGAGTGTGGAAAGTGTTTCAATTGGAATGCGCACCTTAGTACCCACCAAAGAACTCATACAGGGGAGAGACCTTATAAATGCTTGGTGTGTGGAAAGAGTTTCAGTGTGAGCAGTTCTCTTGTGACCCATCATAGGATTCACACAGGGGAGAAGCCTTACAAATGTTTGGAATGTGGCAAGTGTTTCAGTTCAAACACACACCTTCGCAGGCATGAAAGAACTCACATAAAAGAGAGGCCCAGTGCATGCTGAGAGTAGGGAAAGAGGATAAAGGATAACGTTCAGGAATCACTAATTCCTACCAGGAATATAGAAAAGGTTCCCCTCTCAGATGGCAGTTTTAAAGCTTACAAAACTGCACATTGTGGTATTATATAAAAAAGATCAAGTCTCTTTCAAATTCTGCTCCACACCTTGTAGCCTCATGGATGCATCTGTATTGTTTTCTAGTATTGTGTCATTGCTTTTTCCAGAAAGCTGTTTTTTTGTTGTTTTTTTTACAAAACCCAGTCTGCCCTGTAGCTCTGGGACTATCTAGAGGTCTCCTATCCAAGATCTAATAGGTCTGACCCTTCCTAGCTTCTGAGTTCAACAAGGAGACCCATATATTGCCATACATATGGGTAGTTAGTAGGGAAATGTTTATATATCCATTTCATTAGAATCCACATCTTATGCAAGGGACCAAGGATTGAACTTTCATATTGCAAGTTCTTCTAGGGCTCTGGTAGCTTCCAGTTTTGCACTTCATACTCAACAGGTTTGCGCATGTAATGTGCATGGATTAGAAATGTAGATCAACTGGCAACATTAGTTAGGCTCCTTAATAATTACCTCTTCCTTCTCTGAATGGAAATCTGTAGGTGAGTGTGTTTTGGAGGCTAAGCAAGGAATAGAGAGATGAGATTAATTGAGGCAGATCACCATACTTTTGTGGCTTCATCCAGTAGTTCCATTAAGCCGAAGACACTGTATTGTAGATCCATTGCATTATGTAGCAACTTTTTGCACAGATCCCTGGAAGCAACACACCGTTTCGAAGCTTTCAGTGGAAATGGGACTCCAACAAAATAGTATCGTATCAGATGTGAAACATAAGGAAAGAAACTGAGGAGCATAGGACTTGGTGCTATAACATTTTAGCAGATTATGGAACAATGTGGACATACAGCGTCTTCCTCCTAAGCCTTTGACAAAGAACCACATAATTTTCTGATTTGCAAGCTTATTCAGTGTGGCCTGGATAACAGACACGCTATGTGACTCCATAAATTAGCTTGAAAACAATACCCAGCATATTCATTAACCCCCAAGGAAGGGGTCAATTTAGCAAATATACATGATGATAAAACATCCTTCACGGTCATTATATTAGTGAACCGTGTGATGTGTCTGTGAAATAGGGAATTCTAACTGTAGATTGTAGTGACAGAAGAATTGTTTCTAAACTCTGGAAGACATATTAATTCCACTACATTGTGCATTGTTTCAGCCCTGTTTTGAGTACATTGTCCAGTTGTGGGAAATGCATTTTAAACAGGATGTGGATACATTAGATCATATTCAGAGGTGGAGAATAAAGTTCATCAGGGAACTGGAAATTTAGTTCTCTAAGGAAGTAAAAGGAATTGGGCGTGTTTACTTCTTCAGAAGTTGGGGTGGATATGATAGCCCTCTTCAGAAATCCTGAAAGGAGATGACTTAAGGACAGGATCTCAAAGTGATGTATAATGGGCTGAAATTTCTAGAAGGTGGATTCTAGTCCTGTTGAAGGTTAAGAGAAACTTCCAGGAAGAGCAATATAGCAGCAAACCCAGTTACCTAGGAAGTGGTGGACTCCCTTTGCTGTGTGTGTGCTCCAACTGAAGCTCAGCAGCCATCTGTTGTCAATGATTTGATTTGGAGAGAGCCGCTGAACAGGTATCAATGGCTACATCCAACTTTACAGTTCTGTATATAGATTGCTATCTGGATTGTCTGGGGCACCAATTATTTCCCTATTGCTGATTTAGATAAAATATGGTTTTGATGGATTCATGTCATGCTTTATACTAATAAGAATCAGTGAATGAAAATTCTTGGGTCTTTGTTTCATTTTTATTAATATTTCAGTAAAACATAGAAAATGCCCTTATCAAAACTTTATTAATCCATCAGACAATTTATAAAATAACAAGCCAAGCTTTTTGAGTTTTCCAAGAAGATATCACAAACCAGAATGGATGAAAAGCAAGCAGGCAAAGGAATGTTTGAGGTCTATTTGCCTAAATGGTTTGACAGGGAGTATTGGAAGGTTGACAGACGTGTCAGTTGAGTTCTGGAAGACAGAGAAGCAATCTTAGTTTGTGCAAAGGATTTCCTGGAATCTCAGAAGAAGAAAGAATGGGCGTTCCCCCATGTCTTCAGCTTTTAAAATAAAAAATGTCTATTTTTTGCCAATACACTTTGAGTGGTTTCTCAGTAATAATGGCTCAACGCTGCTTTTTTTGTAGGACAGTGCAGTGCTTCAGATCCAAAACCACAAAGGTGCGTTGGGTGTGAGTGTAGGTATACACACTACACCCACTGAAGCTTTCAGGAAGCTGTATCTTACCTCGGACTCACCCCAGGCTCATGTCCATCCCAGAACGCCTTAGCCATTGGTGCCTACTTCATTCAAATGGGTGTTTTCCAGGGACTATGTAGTCCTGTCCAGCTGGGGACAAGATGCATCATCTTTAAGGCACTGATAGGTGCAGTGTGGGCACCCACCCGTGCCCAACAGGAAGTGCAGAATCGGAGCTGAAGCACAACACCTCCCTCTTTTGGTCTACTGATCTATATTATTATTATTAAGATTTATTATAGCCACACACTCTAAAAAATTTGGTATGCATAAAATCCGAACTGTGTCAACGGGATGGTCAATGGTATCACTGCCAGGTTATCTCTATGCTTTTATTATTAACATGTTATATTTCTTCGTCTCTTTAATTTACCATCGTCCTACCTTGTTTTCTCCCATCTTCATTCTAAATGCCTTCCTGTTCTTTCTCCTGCTGTGTCAAATTTTGTCCCCCTCCCCACCTACTAAAGGACACACACATTTGCACACACTCCTGTGTCCTGTTCACTGAACAGTGTGCTGCCAGTAATTACTTCCTGGATTTAATTTCCTTGTGATTGACCTCAATTGGCATGGTAAATCATTTGGAAGAAGTCCCCTGAAACTAGCCAGGGAAGTTTTTCTTTTTTTAAAAAAAGACGAGGTTCAAGTATTTTGCACTTTGAAAAAAATTAAAATTTATAGCCAAAGAACCCACTGGATTTTTCTATGTAGAACCAGATTATACCCATAGGCACATTAAATATAAGCGTGAATATGTGTGTGGGTGTCTGTACATACACACACACACACACACAGATCTGTGGAGAGTTTCTTCTTTTCTGCTTTGTGTATAGCCCTCCCCCCCCAAGTCTTGCCTTCTCCAACCTGGTGCCCCTCTGAACCACTGGGCATTCTGGGAATGTTGTCATGGGCCAATATTTATTATTCAGCTAAAAATAATTCATCATCTCATTGCTTGCCATGAAACCCTTGGTGTTGCACCTTTTTCCTTTCTGAATCAAAGCACTCTGTTTGTGCCGCCCTCTCTTCCTCTGTTGCCTGCTGAAACTCTTCAAAACATGAATGAATGAAACACGGATGACTCTGAGCTTCATCTTTTTGCAGAGCTGGGTCTTTCACGAAGTTCCTTCACAAAGCATACTTCCTCTACTCTTGCCCATTGTGTGGGAATTTGTCCTTACCACAGGCTATGACTGAAGCTACTTCTCTCATTGCCAGGGGTATTGGCTGGGGGTGAAAAAAGTCAAGATGGCAACCACGACTGTGCAGTTGATGCTTCTCCCCTATTACATAAGTCACGTGACACACACAAAAAGGGTTGAGGTATCAGTTGCATGGCCAAGGCCTGTCTGGGATGGGATATATCTAGGAAGCGGGAGGTGGTGTGATGGAATGCAGGAGAGATCCAGTTTCTCAGGAAGGAGGGAGACAAGAGGCAACACAGTCCAGAGCAGGAGTGTGGGAAGAGGAAGAGACTTAGGATAGCCACTCCCTAGATTCTCCCAGGATATATCTATTAGGTTAGCGTAGTATAGATTTAGTCTGGCAAGATTCTGTCTATATGGTGTAAGCAATAAAGAACTGAACTTGGCTGGATTGTTTCCCTGTTGATCTTGGGCTGGGCCTGACACTTTCAGACCCCTCTGGCTTTTCAAATAAGTTTTATTTAAGTGTTTCTCTTTTATTGACCGAGTAGCATTGTTTCCCTTTAGAATTTTACATCAATACCAATTTAAAAATACACATTGAAGAATTCCTATCCCAAAGCTTCTGTGGGGAACATGCAGGGATGAGCCCTTCTTTCATTATGAAAATAATATGGTTCCACTTGGCTGCTGTTTAAGACACAAGGGCATGTGGACTAGCCTCTTTATATTCTTCTTTTGCCACAATTGTCTCCCTTAGCTAATTGCCTCTGCCTGACCCCAAGAACCACAGGAGCTACATTTCCCATGCAACTTTTGCACATGCAACTTAGGTCAGAAAGCCAGAAACCAAACTGCTCAGAACTTTGGAAAGGTGGAATTAAGCCAAGTAGATTTCTTTTCAGAAAGAATACTCCTTTTTGACCAGTGGACAGCTCAGTGGCTGTGTCCGTAAGTAACGCTTGGCCGGAATGCTTAAACCACAATTTCCCAAACATGCCATAGCGGCTTGTCTTGCACATTACATTGAATCATGATGTTTGGGTACATCAGAATTAAGCAAAAACAAGCCACAGGACTGATATGTCTGAAGTGATAGGTGACCAAGAGAGTTTGGGGCTGGGTTTATATATTCTCCTAAGCCATAATGTGCTTTCCATAATGTTGTGGATACATCAGGGACATTCGATATATCAGAGATATGCCCAGAGTCCCCCACTGAGGGGAGATGGGCAGAGATAAATTTAATTAATTAATTAATGTTGGTCTGCAAATCAAGGTTTAGACTTAGTGGGTGGTTTGAGCCCACTTATTTGGGGATAATTTCATAAACTATGATTAAGCAAACGATGTGTTTGTAATCCAACCCACAGGAGAGTGTCCAGGGCTTTCTACAGTATGGTTTGCTTTACTACTGCTGCGTTGCAAATATCCCTTTCTTGAGCAAAATATGGCAGCGCAGACATGAAACAGTTGTACAGATGAAGGTACTTACTTAGAAAAATGGGTAGGAGAACAAAGATGGGAACATATTACTTTAGAGCAGAGGAGTACAACCTGGGATAATCCCCCAAAGTTTGGGATGTGATTGTCCACACACTCCCTCCAAAAGTGGTTGACAAGTTGTAATATTTAATGTGCAGGAAAATAAGTAAATAAGTACCCAGGGGAGTAACTAAAACTGAATTTAAATATAAACATATTTAGGTTTTCCCCTGATCCAGACCACTTTTTTATCCTGGCCACTCTCACCAATAAAAGGTTGCTTCATGAAACCGATTGGAGGAAGACACAGAAGAAATTACTGATTTTGAGAAAAACCCTTTAGGAACAAAGGTTTCTTTGAGTCCTTAGAAAAAGGATCAGATCAATGCACTCTCTGGTTTCCAGTGGTGGCCCAAATTCCAGAGAAGCGCTCTCTGCCCCCTTTTAAATCACTGTTTCTTAAACTTTTTGCTCTCAAAACCCCTTCCCACTTTTAAAAATTATGGAGTGCCCCAGAAGAGCATTTGTTTGTATGGGTTATGTTTATCAATATTTACTGTATTAAAAATTAAGATTGAGGCATCCATATTTATTTACTGAATCATGTAAAAATAACAATACTAGACCCATTAGATATTAACATAAATATTTTTCATGACAAAACTGTTTCTTTTAATAAATAAAAAATAATGAGAAGAGTGACATTGTTCTAAATGTTTGCAAATAACTTCAATATCTGATCGTTTTGATTTTGCACACTTCTGGGAGGGGCTTGGGGGACCCCCAGGGGTCCTTGGACCACACTTGAAGGAACACTGTTTCAAATCATTCTTACTGGCAACCCTGAACAACTCTTGTAGTGGTGACTTCCCCCAGTCCACAAAGCACTGCGTGGAAAAGGGCTGTCTGAGGTTGGCCCTCAACCTCTCACTGGGAAGCGTCACCACTGGTCACACAGAGGCCCTTCAGCAGTCACCAGAGACCCTCAGCTGTCATCTCCCTTCAGAATTAAAGGACGGGGACCCAGGACCACTGATCCAGAAAGCTTAGCTCAGTCTCTTTCAACTGGGTGCTCTTTAGGAGACTTCCTGGATTCCCATGGAGGAGACCCCCATCTCCAACTGAGAGCATGCAAACAACCCAGTCAGTGGTGGTTGGGGAGGAGAGATCCTGCCCTCAGCCCGTTATGTGGATGCCACAGGGTTCAGTACTCTCCCCCCTCCTATTTAATATCTACATGAGGCCGCTTAGTGAGCTCATCCATCGCCACGGGGTGAGGTATCATCAGTATGCTGATGATACCCAATTATACATTTCTGCCCTGGCAAAGTAAGTGATGGTGTGGATGCCTTACCCGGTGCCTGGAGGCTGTGAGGGTTTGGATGGGGAACAACAGGCTTCAAATGAACCCTGGCAAGACTGAGTGGCCTTGGGTGTGGGGTCCTGCCAGTTCTGGGACAATACCATCTTTGGTGCTGGATGGGGTGGCACTGCCCTGGACAGGCCCAGTGCGCAATTTGGGGGTCCTCCTAGACTCATGACTCCTGCTCAAAGAGCAGGTGGCAGTCATGGGTAGGAGGGCCTCCGCACAACTCCGTGTTGTGCACCAATTGTGCCCTTTCCTGGATCTGAAGGCTCTGCTCATAGTCACTCATGCCCTAGTCACCTCCAGATTGGACTACTGTAATGCGCTCTACATGGGGCTGCTGAATATCCGGAAGCTTCAACTGGTGCAGAATGCAGCACCACGGGCAGTTATGTGTGCTCCTAGTTTGCTACACGTTATACCTCTGCTTTGTGAGTTGCACCGGCTGCCAGTTTGCTTCTGGGTCCAATTCAAGGTGCTGTTTTTGACCTTTAAAGCCCTTCATGGCATGGGGCCAGGTTACCCGAGGGACCGCCTCTCCCAGATCACATCAGCCCGTCCCATTAGATCCGGCGTGTTCCAACGGCCAGGGACTTGCATTTGGTGGGTCCCAGGAGGCGGGCCTTCTCTGCCGTGGCTCCCTCCTTGTTGGACATTCTCCCCCCTGAAGTGAGGCTCGCCCTTTCCCTGCTGTCATCTAGGAAGTCCCTCCAGACCTGGTTGTGTCATCAGGCCTGGGGGGTCTTTGGGAACTGGAGACATTCTTAAATGGCTCCACTGTAATTGATACTGTTTATCTTTTTATGATGCCTGTTTTTATTCACTTGTTATTTTAATTGTTGTATGCTGCCCAGAGTCACTTTGTGTGTGATAGGCAGCTATATAAATGTGATGAATAAACAAACAAACGAATACACCCACACCAGTTCAGCCCCCTCTGTGATCCCACAGCGAGGCAGCTGAAAGTGGAGAAGCTTGGCTTCGGCCTGGATGCCTTTGCTGCTCAACAGAAAGTCGGGCTGCCAGAGAGATGGGGACGGGCAACCCACAGCCCACGTGCCCCCCAACAGCCCTGGTTGTGCCCCTATCACCACCTCAAGGATGTGCCACTCAGTGGTGGTGGCAGAATAGCCAATTTCCAGTGGTGATTTTTGTTTTTTTCAAGGGTAAGGGTGGAACTGGAGTGGGAGGCCTCTGGCAGGGGGCTTTAAACAAGGCAGAGAAAGCTGCAGAGCCTGGCTTGGGGAACTTGTTCCAACTTTTACAGCAGCCAAGGGAGGCTGAGGGGTATGTGCGCATGGTGGACACCCCGCCGAGTCACATGATTGGACCAAGGAGGGAGGGAGCTTACAGGGATGCATTTGGGAAATTTGGGGAAAACATTTTTCTCCACAGCCCCTAGCCTGATCTGTTTTCAAACCTGATTTTTCTTCTGCCAGCTTCTCCTACTGCATGACATTTGGTTCTGGTCTGTTCAGTTTTTGGAGCATTATCCTGCCAACGGAGTCCTGAACCCCATTTTAGACTTTCTTTTGAAGTTTCCTCTGGGTTGGAAAGACTAAAAATGAAAAGAGCAGCCTCCAAATCCAGTTCTCCTGCCCAAATACCAGGAAGAAAAAAAAATCAGCCTTACCCACATCCATGACAGCCCCACCAGTCTTTGCGTAGTTATCCTGTTTGCTGTGGTCTCCAACCACAGAAAGCTGGCCATTCATGTTTTACAGCTTAGTTTATGGCTTATTCCATAAAACAGGTGTCAACCATGGTTAGTTTAATCCAGAAACCCACACAGGTAAGAAAGCTCTTAACATAGTTAAGGAAACAATGCCATGATGCAAAGTGTGGATCAGATCTAGGTCTCCAAGAGAATCCAAATTTAAATCCCCCCCCTTTTCCCCCAAATGGTCCTTTAAAAGTTACAAGGACGTTCTAGGCATCCTAGATATTCAATATTGGGATATTATTTGGAACCTTTAATACCAGAGGCTCCTCATATTTCCACTGAGAGGTATTACTGTACTGTTCTGATACATTGGAACTTTTAAAATTAATTTATTTCAATGCAATACACTTCCTCTCAGCATTTCTGTATAAAAGACATAAAAGCAGTGGACCCCCCAATTTAATAAGCTCAGCATAAAGCTTAGCAGAGGCATTGAAATGATTTTTGTATTAAATAAGACCATGAATTATTTCATCTTTAGATGGTTGATACTAATAAAGTTTTAGAGGTCCAGGTTCATGAGCTGACCAAGTGCTCAAAAGTGAGGAAGGCCAGCAACGAATCCTTAAGCTCATCTCATTCAGCATTTGCGGCCCTATAACAATGAGGCCAGAAGTCTCCAAGGAAGAATCACCAACTTCCACTTTTGTTCCACAGCGGCCTGGATTTCAACTACACCATTTTTACATTCCAGAGACGGCGTCTCACCATCAAGATGAATGGATGCTGATTCACAGATTTTAGTCTGCAACAATGGTACCATATTCACCTGAATGGCAGACAGCCTCCCACTAACTTTCCTGTCTCCATCGTGAGCTTTTTTGTTTTACTCTTATTTTAAAGGTAAATTACTGGGGGGGGGGGGGAAAACTAGGAATCTTTTTGCAGATAAACGTACTATGTAACTGAGACTGAAACAGGTGTGAATAGTGATATGGTAAAGAGGTAGCTCTTTAACTAATTCTGGGAACTTGCAAACCTTTTGCAACTGTCCTTTTCCAACACAAAAAGGACGCAGTTCTGAAAATGAGAAGCATACAGAACTATTTTAAGCTGTAAATCTCCCAGCAACCATCAGATGGCAGCAAAAAGATCAAGTACTGCCCTCTGGTGGTCATGAGGAGATCTGCAGTCAAAACATGGTAGGCCTAATTACACACTAGACCACAAATGGAAGCACAATGCAAGTTAAAGGTCAATTCCAGGAATTCGCAATTCTTTTGAGCCGAGGTGCCATGATAGCTGTGCCACCCTAAACCCTGAAGGATAAAAAATAAAGATAGAGGGGATCACCTAATTTAGGATAATCATCTAAACTTGTGAGATTTTGGACTATGACAAAAATTGAGGTTTCTCTACCTATTTGAAGGATGTCACCGTGGCACCTTGCCAGCTCAGATGAATTTGACCTAGCAAGGCCTCTCCAGGGCCCCAGAGAAGAAATATTCACATTGCCTGTTACCAGATCATTTAAAAAGGTTTTAGGGTAGAGGCTGGGTAGTGTTCTGATGCTGGCAAGCATATTTTTAGAGCATTTGTATCACAAAATAGCTGACATGATGGGACTGGACAACTGCCCAAAATTTAATTACTTCCAAGGTCGCTGTCTCCAATCCTTCCTTATTCTCATCTTTTTTATGCACAGACAGAGCTCAAACATGCTTATATGATACTGCCTGAATTCAGAAGCATTTTCATAAATGAGGTTGATGACAAAAGTTGGGCTGTGGCTTTGAAGCCTCCCGGGTTCCCATTAATTTTAATTTTTAAATTATAGTTAGTTGGGGCAGGGACCCTACCAGACCGAAAGGAAGAAACCATGGGAACTGGATTGTTCATGCTTGCTTTAAAGAGCGGACCTAGATGTTTGCTACTTCTGACTGTAATTCCTCTCTAAACAGAGACTTTATTTTTGGCAACCAGAAATGATGATGTTCTGGAGGAGCCACATTTGCTTGGATCAAATATGAGAGCTCAGCTCTTCCTTGCAGCCAGATATTCAATTATTTGAATGTAATGTACTGTACTGTACTCATATGTACTATCACTGTATTTGGGGGGACCTGCCCTGGCCGAGTGGATAAGAATCAAGAGAAATTCACATGAACCCTTAAGAGAAACAGAAACTTAAGCCTATTACTAAGTTGCTCTGTCAATGCTTTTACATTTAAACTGGCATTTTAGATGTGCTCCTTTTATTTGTAGTCAGTTTACTTGATTCATGAGGTTCTTTATTATTTTCACCTATCTTCTTTTCGGAATTGCAACAACAACAAAAATTTGAGAGATTGTCATCTATTCATTGAGAAATATTGTGAAGCACTCCAAATTTTCTCCTGGATTAGAATTGTGCCGCAGATGACTCTGGAAAGAACTGGTGTCCTGTGAAATGGGGGGACAATCTGCATTTAGAGAAGGAAGTCCCCAACCACTGTTGCAAGGATCCTCACTCCAATACTTGGAATGGATCCTCTGATGTGAATTAAGGTTTCTTTTCTCACTAAAGCTCTTCCCACACTCCACACATTTATATGGCTTCTCCCCAGTGTGTGTGAGGTGATGTCGAAGGAGATGTGCTTTCTTACGGAAGTTTTCCCCACACTCAGAGCATTTAAATGGCTTTTCCCCCGTGTGGATTCTTTGATGAGTGACAAGGTTTGTACTCGTACAGAAGCTCTTCCCACACTCAGCACAAGTATATGGCTTCTCCCCTGTGTGAATCCGGCGATGCGAAGTCAGGCTCGTGCTGGTACTAAAACTTTTACCGCATTCTGAACACATGTACGGTTTTTCCCCCGTGTGGGTTCTTTGATGGAAAATAAGGCTTGCGTTTTGGGCAAAACTCTGCCCGCAGTCTAAGCAGGTAAACGGTTTCTCTCCTGTGTGGGTTCTCTGATGGGCCATCAGAGTTGAGCTGTGACTGAAACTCCTTCCACACTCCAGGCACCGAAAGGGTTTCTCTCCGGTATGAGTTCGCTGATGCAATGTCAGGTTTGTGTTCTGACTGAAACTCTTTCCACATTCCAAACATTTGTATGGTTTCTCCCCTGTGTGGACTCTCAGATGGGACGTCAGTTGCGACCGATGACTGAAACTCTTCCCGCACTCCATGCATGCATAGGGCTTCTCGCCTGTGTGGATTCTCTGGTGGCGGACCAGCGTGGTCTTCTGGCAGAAGCTCTTTCCACACTCCAGACAAGTGTACGGCTTCTCCCCGGTGTGAATGCGCTGGTGGGTGATGAGTGCTGCACTCTGACGGAAGCTCTTCCCGCATTCCAGGCAAGTATAGGGCTTCTCTCCCGTGTGAATCCTCTCATGCCTTATGAGGCCTTTCTTCTGAGAGAAACTTTTTCCGCAGTTGGAGCATTTAAAAGGTTTATCCTCTTTGTGTGTTTTCAAATGAGCATTAAGGCTCGACTTGCAGCTGAAGCTTTCCCCACACACCAGGCACTTGCTGCTTCTTTTTCCCCTGCATGCAGTTTCTAGGGCTGGGAATTCACAGGCCGCAGATTCCCGAAAAACAGGGGATGGAGGTGTCCTCTTCTCTTTCTCTTCCATCTTCTGGCTCTGCCTGTCCTCTTCCTTATCCACAGCCTTCTCAGAAAACAGCCCATGGTCTTCGTCCTCCATTTTGCCCTCCCAGCCGTCCCTGGCTGGAACAGAGAGAAGGGTGTTAAAAAGGGGTGGAGTGTCATCATGCACAACCACCATCTTCACATTTCAGTCCCCCTCCAACATGTCCACTTTATGTGTATGTTGTTCCCAATGGCTCAAAATAGAACTCAAAAGACTTGATGGGGTGGGGGGAAGGGAAATCACACAGTTTCAGTATTACAATCAAACCAATGAAAACCTTCACTTGGAAATGTTTGTTGACTAGGCTTCCGGGAAGAAATGGCCGATTGAACACGGCTCTGTTCTTTGTGGAACCGACGCCCATGGCAATTAGAGGACTTGGCCTTGGTCCAGCTTTTCGGAATCATCTCTAGATAAAAGAGATTGACAGGAATACCCACAGGTACTCCTTACAGAGATTCCCTGTGAAGAGATTACAATTTAGCAATCTCTAGTGGGTGGAGTCCTCTGGGAGTCGAGGGAAACATCGAGCCCAAGCCATGGCATGGGGCCTTCAAACACATTAGATTTGCTTTACTTCCTCTTTTAACTGACATCGTAAACTGCCTATTTATGATTTATTTAGCAATTAAAAACCTCCTGAAAGACAAGTTGCTGTATACCGGGAGAATTTCCTACTATCCTGGGAGAAAGAAGACCAAAGTAAGTTTAAAGATCAAAAAGAAACATTTTAATGTTTGGAAACAGTGAAAGGGAATTAAGAATGTTGATTGGGGACAATTAAGAGGCTA